CCGGGATAAGTCTCATTTTAAAAAACGGTTGAGGTGGGGAATAGCGGTCACTAGAGGAGGCTCCAAAACTCCGTATTTTAAAATGAGTTTATGGTGTATGCAACATGAATTTTCTTTCTGCAGGGTGCTTGAAAGGAGCCCTGGAAGAGCGGCCCTCGGAACGTTAATTCCTTGCTTAGTCTGCCTGAGTTGAAAGCTTGGTGAAGGAGTTGTCTTCTCTGACTGAAAAAGTGACACATTCGCTAGCGCAGAATGACCCCAAATATTTCAAAGGTAGAAAATAACTTGTACCTGTGGTGGTGAAAAACGGTTCTTGTTCAAGCTCAAGATATTATTTGTATTGCAGCGTTCTGCCTTTATGTTCTTGAGGTATGAAACAATGAAGATGCTAAAGTAAACAAAAGAGTTTTAGAGCGAGGGCAACATCTGGTATCCATCCTGAGCGAGCTTAGGCAAGAAGGGCTCTTCGGAGTTAAGAATCTGCTGCTGATTTTTTGGGTGGCCTGGAGAAATGCACTGAGGGCAGGTCTGCACAGCAGGGATATTTAGCTCCGACAGCCACAGAGAGGCAAGATCAGCCTCAGGCGTGCTCACCCTTGCATCACCTGCCTAGTGCTTGTTTTCAAGTCACTGGAACTAAACCCCTGGTCCCTTCCACAGCTTCCCTGTTTGGTCCCTCCAAGCTGTCTGGTGGCTGGCAGTGAAGTTGCAGTGTCTCAACATCTGTTGAGAGACAAAAATGATTTTTTCTGGCATACAGATGCACTTGGCCAACATCTGTTGAGACAAAAATGATTTTTTCTGGCATACAGGTTATTTGCAAATGATAGCCTATCATTCTGTGGCACTACCATTAACTTTAAAGGGACTCTCTTTCTTCTGTCATTTTGGGCAGAAATAAAGTGCCTTATTCTGTGGTATGTCAGCAAGATAGCTGAGCCTCAAAAAAAACCTGTCTAAATGGATGTTTCTTCAAAATAGCTGCATGCACATGCATGTGGGAGTACCTTTGGGTATACACAGACACCTAAGAAATCAAGCAGGACCTGGGGACTCCCTCCACAGGCTTTCTTCTTTGGCTGGGAAAAAGGGCCACAGCAAGGGGAAATGAACCTAGCCCCTGGCATAAGACAGGTTTCTCTGAACACCGTTCCTAAGCTGGGTTTAGACAGAGCAAAGAGCCTGTGGTTCCTTGATTCCACTTGCAAATACCCTGAACTGCGGTGATACACCTAAGATAGCTAGGAACGTATTTGTAATTTTATTGGTCATGTTTTCCCCAACTTCTCAACTTAATTTTAGGGCCACTCTTTTCCCTCCTGACTAACACCAATATTTGATCTGTGTACTTCATCCCAAAAATCTAAAGAACAGACATTCCGGTTGCAAAGGATAACATGCACATTAGTCACGTGACACATTACCATAACCAACAGTATGATACCTGTACCTAATTAGTTCTTAGGCACCAGGCAACATATGTGTTTATTGGGACAACTCTATGTGTCGAGAGCCAAACAAGCTGGTTGAAAATATTATTGCATATATTGTTAGACTTGAAACAGACTGATGATGAGGGTCCCTGCTTGCTGTGTAGGTATACCATCTACTGATGTTCTCTTCCATTCCCTCCAGGCTTGTTTAGAAGGACACATTATATTTGTGGGGAGCCTATGGTCCATGAAGATGCATCCTGCTAAAAAATAATGTTATTAGATTGACTTATTGCAGAATATTTGAATCCAATGTAAGATTTTCAATTGCAATCCACAGCTCTCAGATCCTCTCTTCCCTACTACAGATTGGAGGAAAAGAAAAAGTCTAATAAAATGCCGTGCAACACTCAGTTCTTTGCTGTATCTAGAGAAGATGCTCCGATCACCTGTTCCTGAGTATTACAAGAGTATTTTCTGTGCTAGCATGACGAAAATAAACTTGGAGATTGAAAGCAATGGACTCGAGTTTTCTTCTCGGGACGTCTTCATGGGAAACAGCATGTTATCTATTTGCACTTAACCAACAACGTGGTAAACGTTATTGTGAAATAGTAAAAGCAAAGCTTTTTCTTTAGCAGCAATGAATCATCTAACAAAAGATATATTTGCTATGTTAAAGTAATGAATTATATAACATTTAAAACATCAGTGTCAGATAATTTATCTCAAGTTTTACAACCTGAATCTTTATCCCAACTTAAGCAAGATGTATAAAGTAAAGTTTATGATTGTTACATACATTAGCGATACTGATACCATCATTTCCAAACCTGGATTTTTTTTGCCTAAATCTGTTGTTAAAATAGATTGCAAGGATTAATGTGGTATAATTTTGGTTAAGCTTTATGAGCATCTTTTGGGGTTTTTTTGCTGGAGATTAAGCGTATAAAGCAGTAATGACAAAAAAAAGCTGTGTTTTTGTGTCCCATTTTGTTCCCCCGGTTATGTTATGTGACACGTCTGGTTTCTCGGACTTCTACAAACTCAGATGATGGCTGGAGAAGATTCTCACTTGGCAGAAGCCTAAGGGAGGATGCCTTGGAGAACCTAGCGAGCAAGCCTTACCCCACAGGGGTGAGGTGCTGTGATACCTTGTCTAAACATATATGATATAGACTGCAAATCAAAGGGCTGTTTTACAGCATTTCTGTCAAGTCTTATTGACAACTCCAATTCAAAGGGTGCCCCCGTGTCTCCACTGGAAGAATCACAGAATCATAGAATCATTGAGGTTGGAAAAGACCTCTAAGATCATCGAGTCCAACTGTCAACCCAACACCACCATGTCCACTAAACCATGTCCCTAAGTGCCTCATCTACTCGTCTTTTAAATACTTCCAGGGATGGGGACTCCACCACTTCCCTGGGCAGCCTGTTCCAATGTTTCACCACTCTTTCAGTAAAGAAATTTTTCCTTACATCCAATCTAAACCTCCCCTGGCGCAACTTGAGGCCATTTCCTCTCGTCCTATCACTAGTTACTTGGGAGAAGAGACAACAATCAGAAGAGATTCAGGGAGAAGAGGAACAATCATTAACGTTTTTCATGTCCAAAATCTTTCACAAACGCTACACAACCTTCAGCACAAAGAACGTGCCTGGTCATACAGATCGGCGGAACCTTAGCCATTTGTAGTAAGTTTCCTCTGTTGAAGCCCGTTTCATCAGCTGTAAGATAAGGCCGTCTCCTCTGCTTCGAGAAAGCAGAAGCTTCAGAGAGAGAGAGAGGTCTTAACAAGAGTCTTCACTGGGCATGAAACCTCAGCATTGTGGAGCAACCCATTTCCCCTTATTCCTTCTTTTTTTGCTCCACTTAAAGATTTTGAACACACGTCTGGAGCACACCAAAAGCAGCTGCTGAGGAGAGTTAAGAGAAGGGAAAAGTTGTTCGCAGGTAAATAATTGATGTGTTTGAAGGAAGGTGTATCTTTTAGAAAGCTTTGTTCCAGTAACTGCTGAACAACTGTGCGTAAATTATTCAATAATATAAATCAACACAGTTGTTTCCAAGGTAATTCTAACTTCCCTTTCTTACACGTAGGAGCGGCTTTCTTGTCTCCCTAAGAATGTTTGCAGAAAGAAGGCATCACAAATGCTTGCATAAATAAGAAAGATGATCCTGATTATCCCAATATTTTTGTCAGGGAGGAATCCTTTTATTAAATGACAGCTTGGAGACAGATCTCACAGCACGAATGCAGAATGAGAACTCCAGTCTGCACCCGTACCGAATAAGGCGCTATAATCAGAGCCTGAAACAGGTTTGGGAAAAACACTCTGAACAACAAAGGGAGCAGCAAGAGCCAGCTGTTTCCTAAGAGAAGCCAAGCCAAGGGTGACCGCAGCGGCAGTGATCTCACCATCAGGGCACAGTCCCACCGCAACCCCAGCCGGGTGATGACAGCAACAGGTCCCCTTGACAGTCCATTGATCATCAGACAAAAGCAAGGTAACGAGGCCAAGGTCAAGCCACTAAATCGAAACAACTATTCAGGAACAGGACTGGAAACAGGTACATCTACACCATAGCTCAGGGAAGGATTGAAGGCCAGGCCTGAGCTTAAATGAGGCTTCTAGGCCCATGGGCAGAGGGTGTGGATGGAGGCTCCAGGTGAGTCTGGTCAGGGCAATTGGGGCCGGCTGCCGCACTCAGGGCCCTGACAAACTAGTACTTGGGAACAGCAAGTCCATTTGCAGGTGACTTGTGGGCAAAGTTGGCTAAATTTCACATTCACCAGTTCAGCCATATTATCCTTTTACCATGTATCAGTATAGTTTAAAAAAACCCCATGTGCTCTTGAAAGACACGACGGATACAGCATTCGTAAAATAAAACACTCAAACAAATGCTACATGTTACCTAAGGCAGAGTGTTTAGAGTAGTCAGAGAGCTAATGTTCATATCATCCATAAAATGAGTCAAATATCTCCCTGAGTTATACTGCAGGATGCCCAGCACTAGGAAATTCAGAAATCTTAAATTCTTAGATTTTCATCTCATGTGGAAACTCCAGTATTAATCTATTTGTCTGTCCATGTTTCTGATCTTTGGAACGCCAGAAGTCCTGCACATACGGATATCAGCTGAAGCTGTTCGTACTGTGATACGAATTCATATAATGAAATAAAATGTTTTTCATTATATAAAGGATAGTTTTTTTTCTTCAGTGGGTATCATAGTAAAGACTGACAATATCCCTGCTAGGTAAAAAAATAGGATTACACTTATCTCAACAGCTGAGTATGGTAGAGCACAGAGAATATTTTATCCAAGCTCAGACGCTGGGCCCAGGGTCACACACAAATCGTGGAGCAGAGACGGCTATAAAGTCCAACTGAAGTTCTAACTTGCAGTTCAATTTTACCGTTTGATCTCCCTGACTAAACTCTGCTGCAGCCTTCCAAACGGGTGTGGTTTTAAAATCAGTACAGACCATCACCTATGCAAGCCGTGTGACCTCGTGCAATACGAGGACAGTTGACAGTTGCAGACTGACAATGGGGAATGCCACTTGCAGAGAGGTCCTTGAGCAATACTAGTGCTCATTCCACAGTGAAATAGGGTTAGACCTTTTAAATCACGATCTTGTCTTGCAGTGCAAAGAGGAGCTCCACCTTGGGAGCTAGTTTTTAATTACAGCAATATTGGATAGTCGTCCACATGTGTGTATTTTCCTGGTAAGTTTTAGAGTATCCCAGAGAGTCAGGATGATTTCAGTGCAGCCCCATTACCACTGAATGCATACGTTTTTCTTTAGCTCAAATTCTACTGAATTCTAAAGAGATCTTCAACTTCACTGGATCTGAATTAATATCCTGGATATTTCTGTCATACCTCTCAATTTGCTATCTCAAGTCCTGATCCTTCCAGGTACTAAATACCTTCAACATCTGCATTCCAGTGGGTTCTAATAGATGTATGTAATAAACAATTTTCAGCTATTTTCAGCTTACTGCTCCCTGTTTTCTGGTGGAAATGCCAAGAGCAAATAGAAGCCTCCTGACGGAAACATTTGCCACATTATGTTGCCAAGGCCCTGTGGAAGTAACTGAACCCCACGGTGAAAAATCATTAAGTTAGAGCCTTGTTCGAAAGTTTAAAACAGTTAGATGTACTGACCAGGAATCAAATCAGATGTGTCTCACAATGCAGAGAACGAATGGTATTTCTTCACTACAAAGAGGAATAAAGACACAAATAAAGGATGCTTTTCTGCAGACCCTAATGGCCACCCAGTCTGGATGCTATGCTGGTGTTCTGGTTACGTTTCTTCTACCCCTGACAAAAACTGATGTCAGGTATCATGTTTCCACTGTAATTCTCCGTATTGCCTACCGGCAGGTACGTGGCAACAATGAGACCATTGTTCCCTCTTAAAGCATGTAACTAATTACAAGTGTGGGCAGACTGGTTCAACAAGGTAATAAAGCCTGGAATATTTGCTCAAAGATCCTGTTCAGAATGCCTCTTTTTCTAACTGGGAAAGCAGTCAAGGTCTCTTCAAGAGAAGACCCGCTGTCCCACGTCCCTAGCCTACTTTTACACATATGCCCCTGGCACGGGCAGTCGCACGTCCATACAAACCTGTGGGAGATCCGCGCTTTTGGCAATCTCTCATTTCCTCCTCACCTAGCTCACCTGACAGCCACTTGCTGCGCATCACTTCGATGCCAAATGCAAATTGCTTTTCCTATTTACTTCCTTGAATAGAGCGCAAATATCACGTCCTGTGATGGAACGAGTGACCAACTGATTCCTGCAGGCGATCAGGCGTAACACCACGAATTCCATATACCCCTATTTTCTGGCAGGTTATCAAACTACTTAAAATTACTTACAAGTGTATTAGCTTTATAGGTACAGTGACTTGAGTTTATAAAGGTAGAGTCGCAATAAATGTTCTTTTGCCCTATCTAGTCTTCAGAGCGCTTAGTTGGAGAAAGATAAATATGGTGTAGTCATCACTGATACCTGAAGTTCTGAAAATAGGAAGAGAGATGAATGCATTTATGAGAAATGTATTTTGTGAGAGAACTTATTTCTGCTTGTAAAATTTTTCATATTTATTGAATAACAGTTATGTTTTTCAAAAGGTTTTTCCCCTCTTTTCTTCCTCTGACGTTTCAGAAAGTTTGGAAATGCTGTTTGCAGTTTATTCTGGAAATGGTCTACTTCAGCTCAGTGAGTCAAAAATCCAGCCCCAGCACCAGTTTTCCTAAGACCGTTTGGCTTAAGTGGTCACTTTGTATGCACCCCAGCAATATTTGCTCTCAGGAGCAGTGCTGAGTTAGCAGATTTTTGTTCCGAGTCGCTTTCGTTTTTAATTCCTTTGTCATGCCTGTTAACATCTCAGGGTGTTTGCCAAAACAGACCAACCAGTTAGCGACTATATTATTCATTGGGTTACACCGCAGAGCACTTAAAAAACCCAAAGTGCTGCACAGCTTTTGAGTCGTGTCTGTTCCTGTGACCATCACCAAACTTGTTCTCCCTGACAGATACACAGTCCACGCTCGTGTAGCACTTAGGATCCATCTCAAGTCTTCCTCCCCGTGACAGATTGCTGCAAGTGCAATAAATAGAGACGCAGAAGCCTAAATCCTTCTGACTAGTGGAACTTCACTAATCCCAGAAGTCACCAACCCAACTGTCTCACGCTAACCGCACAAAAACCTGCTGCTACCTTGACTACTCTTATTGCCACATAACGTAAGTAGTACAAACCTTTTAAAACTGCATTATGGGTTTTTTTTTCATTTGCACTGAAAAAATGAACGATCTCAGTAATAAGCATTTGCACCAATCAGACCTGCACTGCGGGGGTACGGACTAACAGCAGTCATAAACCCAGCATGACTTCAAAGGGCTCAGGCTGCTGAAGCTGTGCTATATCACTGTGTGATAAATTATTGCCATTTTTAACAGCAAGGTAGTTTGCTTCTTGTGTTCGTTCTCCCATTTGCTCAATTTCTAAAGCACAACCCCTGCTACAGTGGAGATGAAAGGAGTCGGCCACAGAATAAGCTCAATTTGGAAGCAATTCTAGGTAGCCTGAAATGCTACTGCAGGTAGCCTAGCGCTGAACCCGCAGCCTGTTTTGACACTGCTGAGAATCTTCTGTGCGTTGCTCGCTGCACTGAACATGACAAGACTGTGGTGTTTCAAAGGTAGGACTCCCTGCCCCCAAGCTAAATGCTCCTCCATGCTCTAGAACACGAAACTAATTTTTTTCTGTTTAGTACGTGCTGTGACATGTGAACTGTACACCTGCCTAACCTCATCTCACGTGAGCCGTTTATGCTAAGACTACAGCCAGCACTAGACAGAACCATAGCACGCTATTTTTTTCACCAAGCTTTCTGACCTCAACCTTCTCTCCTGAAGGGAAAATGGAGCAGAAAGACCCTTTTAAAAATGCCCCTTTTTCCACTGATGATAGCACCCTCTACCACTCCAGACACTGTACCCTTCTTTCAGTTGCTGCCTTTTAATCTCACTAGCTGCTTTTTATCCGCTTTATTCATTTTCTTCCCACCCAAGAAATCCCTAAAGAACGTGTGAGATAAAAAGAAGAGGAAATTTTTACACAAATTTCCAAAGACAGTTTCTCCTGACTGATTTGTATTGGCTTAGACATCTTTTCAGACAGGTACAGGTATACATTATAGAAATAAAATTTTTACTTCCATCCAGTTTTACAGATATGGGCATAGAAGAGGAAGAAGGGATAAAAGTTAATCAGAAAGAGAAGAGCCAGTATATACAGCTTGATTCCTGGTAAGTTCCCATAGGCAAATTCAAATTGGTAGCCATTAGACATGTTTTTCCACAACTAAAAATTTTGAAATTACAGGAAGAGCATCAAGTACTTGATAATTGCATTCACACCATGATTTTCAGAGCTGGGCTGAACTTCAGGTTCAAGACAGAGGTGGAGCTAGTATTAGATCTAGACATCAGCATGCACGTTCCTTTCGTCATAGTCACTGTGATAACAGAAAAAAAAGAATGGCAAGCTTGGCTGACCTCCACTGAGTGGAGAAAACAGAGATATTCTGATTTAGAACCTGACCTATGCTAAAACCTAGGTTAGGTTTGGAGCTGCGTCTTCGTACCAAAGCCCAGGCCAGCTTAACTTCTGAGATTCATTCAGCCCAGTGCGGTCATAAGGTGGTTTGCCAGCACCTGCACATACATCTGCTTTAGAACCTGTATTTTGGGGAGGTAAGTGTGTTTGTGACACGCTTGAAATTGAGACTGCTTATCTTTAACCACAGGTAGTTATTTCCATTAATGGGGAAATCTTGTGTCACCGCAAACAAACACTGAAATTCTGACAATGCCCACCCTTCCTTCTTTGAAAAGTCTAGAAAAACAAGTTACTTATACTCCATGCAGTACTTAATATTAGTGCAGTGGGAGGGGCTGCTTTAGAGAGGAAAGTAAATTGCAAAGTAAATGCACTGTGTAGAGAGGAAAGACTATTCAGTTTTCAGTTACTGTTTTGGTTTTGGTTTGGGTTTTTTTTCATTCGGTTTGCATGAGGTTTCGGTTCCCTATGGATGCCCGAAGGCAGCTTTTGGCCTGTGGATTCTACACCCCACATTGTGCTCCTGGCCTCTCTTGTAAGCTACGGAAAAGACAGGGTGAGTTTGGGAACTGGGTGGAAGTTTTCTGATGAAGCCCTTAGTACAGGATGTTCCCTGTGAAAAGTTTAAGGTGTTTGAGCAAAAGACAAAGCACGATCCTGAATGAACTCCCAGAGTACTCTACTCACTGCTTTATGTAGAGCTGAGTTACAGCATTAAAACCACATTGTTAGTCCACCCTGGAGTTTCAACTGGACAGCCTTGTTTCCAGCTCAAAACACAAGCGGGACACGTGCAGCTCTCCTCTGCTGAATGCAAATGGAGGCACAATAGCGCGTTTGCTAAGATCTTTTCATGCACTGGTTTGTGCTAAGGGAGTTTTCCAGTTTATTTCTGAAATAAAAGTATATTTTTCCACCTGCGAGGTACCTGAGACAGCAGCACACTTACCTATACCAGGTATACTTATCCTGGGAGAGCTGAGGCATTACCCCCCCACCCTTTAGCACTGGCCATGGAAACACCGGCTTCTGCCACCTGCAATACAGCCTTGGGCATGCGGCTCCACAGCCCCACTCGCCCCATCCGCAGGGGTGATACCTGCCCTCGTATCGCACATCATTTACAGAACCAAACGCCTGAAAGTAAGGAGACAACTAACCGAGCTCATCATCAGCCTCACGCAGGCTGAACAGCCATAAACACGTCAGGCAAACGTAATGAACCATTCTACAGTGAGGATGGGGCTTTCCCAATGCTTCCTCCTTGAATTCCCCTCTCCACCACTCGCTGAGTAGCTCAAGGAAATTGTGTGCAATGCAACTCAGCAGTAGGCTTGATTTTTTTGCAATAAAAATATGAAACTCCTCTATCAAGCTGCTAATTTGCGCTCAGGGAAAGAAAAGAAAGAATTTAATTGCATCCCCCATCCTAAGACAGGAGCATCTGCTGCCAGACAGCAGCAGCAGGCCTGCCCTCTGCATTCACAGATGTCAAAATCCGTGCCAGAGCCATGCCTCCAGGGGCAACAGAGGCTTGGATTTTAAGACTAGCCCCACGAGCCTGGGAGCTGACTGCACGCCTAAAAGATGTATTTTATTCCCAAGATAAACATTTTGAAATTTCATTTCCAATATAATGACATACTGGCAGTATTTTCCTCAGTGATGGGTACAGCAATGAAACACTAAAACAACGTCCTGAAGTTAGCATTTACATCCCCCTAGCAACTAGCCCCCAAACCCTGGCAAAACCTCTCCAATTAATTTCCTCTGCTATTTCAACTGTTAGAATTTAGTAGAAAACTGAAGGGTGCCTGCTTTTACCGTTGCTCTTTGGGTGGTTCTGGCTTTCCAAACAGTCTCTTTTGCTTGGTCAGTGCTGGAGCTGAAACTTGGCTGAAAACGCCAAGAGCAAGCTACTGAGTTCAAGGGAAAGAAATACGAGACATAACAAGTGTTAGGAGCAGTCAGTACGGCTTGAGGAGGTGGCAGGACCAAGCGCTTGATAAAGGTGAAACACAGTGAATAAAGTAGGTGCCCTTATCACTGTTAACAAAATAGTTCTTTGATTCAAAAATAGAACTATGGAGATTAGAAAGAGAAACATTTTTACTGAAAATGAGGGGTCTGGCATATAGTTCTTGGTTAGAAAAAATAATTGCCTTGTAGGCAGATGCAGGAATGGAGGATTTGCTTTTTTTAATCATGGATTTGACGTGGATATTTCTTGAAAGAGAAAATTCCCAGATTTGTAAACTAAGGCTCTCTGAGTGTTTTCGTCCTAACTCTGTTAGCCAAGGTCTGTCACAGAATCCAAGCCACTGAAGTTACAGTTAGGAAAACCTAGAGCTGACTGAATAGATCATCAATCCCCCCAGTTTAGTTATTTTTCCCTTCTGGAAAATGGGCAAAATCCTAATCCTCCAGATGAGGATGATGAAGCTGTAGTGGCTGTAAAGGCCGCATTTCCTTCATCGTCTGTGAGACACGTGTGAGAATCTGTCGGAGATGGTGATGAGAAAATGCCAGACCCTGAAGAACGGAGAGCGCATCCTCCCTGAGGCTAAAGCTAATCCAGACATGCCTGCATCAACCGTACAGAGACAGGCCACAGCTCATCAGTGAAACAACAGACTTTAGAAGTATTTCTTTCCATCTTTCTAGTCGTAAATGTCTTCTTGCCCAGGCGGCCAAGAAGGCCAATGGCATCCTGGCCTGTATCAGAAATAGTGTGGCCAGCAGGAGCAGGGAAGGGATCGTGCCCCTGTACTCGGCACTGGTGAGGCCGCACCTCGAATACTGTGTTCAGTTTTGGGCCCCTCACTACAAGAAGGA